CATCAGCATTAGGTTGGGCAGGCGCTGCTGGAGCGGCCTTCTGTTTCGGAGCTTTTGGAGCCGCTTTCTCTTTGGCATTGGCCTTGGCCTTGCCCTTAGGTGCCATGGCGACTGACACCTGGTCTCCATTTCTCAGCGGACGTAGCTGAGAGCAAAAAGTTGCGAGCGAAATGCAAAGTTAAGGTGTTAACCACTGTCAGCGGTTTCCAACCAAAAATGCACATCTAAATCCACTCTCCAGTGAGTTTCTAGCTGCTTTAAACTCCTGGTGCGCAAACATGCAAGGGAAGACAGAGGCCCTGGAAGACAGAGGCCGGCATGTTGCCTCAGGCTGGGCGGTTGTCGGAGCAACTGTCACGCATTCACTTGGTTCTTGGCCAGACTCCCTTTTCATCCCAACAGTGGCAAGTTTTGCCACGGCTCAGACTCCACAAAAGCCTTTGCTGGCAGTGGCAACTTTCGCTAGAAAATCCACAAAACCGTCTTTGTGGAACACGTTCACCATTTGAAGAGCACGAGCCTCCCCCACAGAAGCCAAAGCTAAAGCCTTGTACTTTTGTTTGCTACTCTCCTTCAAATGATCCCCTGTGAAACTGTGGTCCTTGAGCGCAAAGTCATCCCAGGAAGTCAACACTTTCCATTTGCTGCGCTCATGGGCTCGAGCCCTGCGCGCCGCAGAAGCCAATGATGGATGGTCATGGGCAAAGCCATCACTGATGAAAACCCACCGCACAGACTGGATGGCTGGAGCAAAGTGGAAGGCCACGCCCCGGCGACCATTTGCCTGGAGGCAAGCGACATCACAAACGTGCCCTCCGAACAGTAAAGCGCACCATGTAAGAAGGTCACCTGGGTTGGCCGGGTCGTGAACTACCCAGCTAGATGCCAAGCAAGGATCTGCCACTGCTTCCAAGCCATTGACGTTGGGCAAGTTAGCCCAAGCGCCGTCAGCGACAAAAAAGGGCCGCGATTGCAAAGCAAATGGCTTCGCCTTCAAGAGATCTTGTCGCCGCAGCTCATCAGCTGCACGTGTTTGGTCCTTCTGGCCCCTCATTTCCTTGAAGCACAGGGCCACATCTATCAGTTCTTGGTCAATCTCACTCTCTAGTAAAATTCCTTCGAGGTAGCCTTGAATTTTTGCTTTGTAGCCTTGTGATTTCTGCCACTCTTGCTCAGCGGCCATGTCTTCTGTCCAAAGTGCTTGGCAGCCAGCCATTGCGTTTGCCTGCGCTTGCTCAAGCGTTACCGGCTGAGCTGCTTCTCGAGTCATTGCTCGCCTGTTGGCCAAGAAGGCTTTCTCAGTGTGCTCCTGGCAAGTTTTTGTCTAACAACGTATACCCAATCAATGTCAACACCCAAGCCTCAGCTAACATCTGAACACATGTGACGACAAGACAAGTCCTGCTTCCCGCGAGGAATTCCACGATCCAACCTGTCGCAGCAGGACGCGCGGACTGAGCCCAAACTTTGGCGCCATATCTCTCTGGCTTTCTCACAGAGCACGGCGTCACGAGCAGAATCCCGAAGGATCAAATGTTTCTCGTCGAGCTCAGTTTGCTCACTCATCAGCCTCCGCTCCTTGGGAATGGCCCGGTCTAGTAACGAAAAATTTTGTTCCACACCGCTTGTGGACAAACCGTTCCAGGAACCGTAGTAGGCCAACACTTCCTGGAGGACGTCGCTTTCCAATCGACTTCTTCGTGCCTTCACTCGCGCCACTGCCGCGCGCCAAGCTTCGAAATTTGACTTTGCGCCGGTGGATTTTTCATGCAAGGCAAGCGGCTTTAAGTCCGCCAGCTGAGACCGAAGCCTCTCTGCATCCACGCTGCAGGCCAGCGACAGACGAAGCAAACCTTTGCGCTCGATCTCTGGATCGATAGGCCCGCCGAGGTTAAACACTGTGAATGCATTGAGCAAATCATGGGCGGGAAATTCCGCTTTCACAGTTTCCAGCGTCAGAGCCAGAAACGCTTGCAAGCGTTCCACACATCCACACAGCAAGTTTTCATCGATCTTTCCAGGCCCGCCAATGGTCCGAGGCTTGCCACGGACCAAGAATCCAAAGGGCTGCTCCAAAATCTCAAGAACATAGGCAGTAAAGCCCTGCTGCAAGATGGCACCCTGTGTCACAGAGAACACGAAAACTAGAGCATTCTATTGTTCGCCCATTCATGGCTTTGAGTCATTGGTTGTTGATGATACTTAGTCGGGGGTAATTAAAGTGCACAATCTGGCGAGTGGCCTCGTTGATGAGGCAGTTTAGATGGCGCACGTAGGCTTCAATAGCTTTGGGGAAATCAGTGAGGTCAGCATCTTCAGTGTCCACAACACGAAGGAGGCTTATGGCTTCATCACCGATGTCAGCAAGCATCGCTATCAAAACAAGCTCCCTCTCTGAAAGGGCAGCCAAAGTGTCAGTGGCTTCGCAGGCTTCCTCTCTGCCAGCTCGGGCGGTTGCTATCCAAAGCAACGTGGCCAGGATGGCGTCAATGTGTAGGATGAACCTCCCGAGTGGCTGCGAGCATGATGAAAATCTGTGCTTCGCGGCAGCCAAGTTTTTCTTTCTAAGGCTTCGCACTGGGCATTTGTCGGACGCCTGCAGGTAGCTGTTGAACACGCTCACCAAGGCTGGACTATGTTGGATCTTCTGACAAATGCTTTGGCTCCCCAAAATGTATTGCTGCAAAAGGGTGTAGATTTGCTCATCACAGTCCCATGGCCTTTTCAAAAGCCTTTGCACAGCGTGGCTCCTGTCCTTCTGGATGGAAACCATGTGTGGGAAGACCTGGATCTGTCAGAAAAATTGAAACAAATTTCCACCAGACTGCAAGGGAAGTGAAGACTTGGCGTAATGGCACAAGAAGAAAACTTCACAAAACCAATCAAGCGGCTTCAGCGCAAGCTCGCAAAGCTCCTTGTTCATTGTAGGCTGCGTCAGCCACACAAATAGTCACGCGCTTCTGTAGCAACTCACGCAATACAAGGTCAGGAGGTCCCTCATGCGGCCCGCCAAGGCCTGGCGTGCACAAACGGTCCAGGACTCGGAGCATGCCTTTCTTGAGGTTGGTGATAGTCTCTCCATGTTTCACTTGCATCGACCCCACATATCCTTTGAGCACAGTTAGATTTCTTTGCGAAGCAGAAAATCTCATGTGCAATATGCTATGACGCCCATCTTGCGCAATAGCAATGCTGACAGAATCTCTCAGGAAGTCCCGTGTCATTTGACGATCAGCTTCAGCAAGTGCCCATTGTAATTGGGTCCGCTTCCAGCGACCGCACTCTTCCCCAAGACCTTTTGACAAAGCTTGACCAACTGAGTCTAAAGCCTTCTGAAAAACTGCCACATCTGGCGCTTCAGCGTTGCTGTTGTGCCTGTTGTCCAGGCCCAATTGGGACAAAGCATACTGATGTGTTCCAGATTCACCATGCCGTTTAAGGTTTCCGAGAAATCCTGTTGAGATCGTTCCTTTTGCAAACTCATTTGCTAAGCCTTGCTTTCGACAAACCCAACAGCATAGACCCAAAGCTGCAGTTTTCTCATCGCGGTGAAGAACCAGCCAGGTGCCAACTGCAGAACCATGTCGTTCCAGAAACGTTTCCTGTTCCCACTTCTCGGAAGATCGGGCGTAGGCGCAGATTGTGCAACGCCTGGGATCCGGACACTCCAGCACATGCTGGATCAAAGAATCTTTGCCGGCTTCATGACTTGGACTGGCTTGGCCACTGGTCTCTGCGAAGGCCCGTTTTCTAGTAGCCTGCTTCATGTAACATCTTCTGTTCTCTTGCGCTGTCGTGGCCTCGAAGCCCACCTTGTCAACTGGGCGGCCCCGGAAGCCAGGCAGCATGGTCTAGGATAAAAATGCCTTCAAAAGAACTTGACATTCGCAGCGCTTGTCTGTTTCATGTTCCTTATATTGGGATATTGAAGTGCAGCTGCAGGAGATTGATTTAAACTTATGACTTGAACTTAGCTTGAACCAGGACCACTTAACAGCGGCAATGCGCTGCTCGAATCAGGACCACTTAACAGCGGCAATGTGCTGTGCATCTTTGCACTTCCCAGCGCCACAAAAGATGCAAAAAACGAGGCAACGCTTCCGCTTTCAAACAGCCACACGCGCAGCCTGAACTGACTCAAGAAAGCTGAGTCTCACGCGGGAGCGTGGTCGACGAGGGCGTGGCCTTGGGAAAGAGGAAATGAGCGTTTGGTCAACAACTGCACATGACATGAGGAATGGCACTCTCACAGCGCCCAAAATCTCTATAAGCGACAGTATTTTTTCTTCACCTGCAGCCAGGGCCAGTTTCAAGGCAGATCATCTAGGAAGGCCAGCTTGTCCTGGCAGGGGCGCTGGCAGCGTTCAAGTCAAATGGTTTCCACTCTTTTACGCAACTGTTGGCGGAACTCAACCGGTGCCTGTTTCTTTTTCTTGAGCTTCTTCTGCTTGGGCGCCTCCTTGTCGTCGTTGTCCTGGGGTGGTGCTTGGCCGTCAAAAAGCGATTGACTCCAGTGGTTTTGGGTGTTTGGCCAGGCCTGAGGGGCCTGAGCGGCCTGCGTCACAGCGCTGCCTTTTCCAGGTCCAGTCGCAGACTCCTAACAAATCACCAAAACTAGCGCTGACTTAAGACAGGCTCAACTCAGAATTCAATTCTGTGCGTTGAGAGGACTTTGATCCAGCCTTGCGTTTCTCCTTTTTCGCAGATTTATCTTTCTTCTTCTTGTCGTTGTCATTGTCCTTGCCAGCGGCGCCTGATGGGTTGGCAATGGTCTCCACCATAGCCTGCCGGGAATGTCAATCCACCCAGAAATAAAACATTTCATTAATTGTGTTCGCTGCTACGTTTTCATCAGAAAACCTGGCCTGCTGGAATCTTTCCTGCAGAGCATCAAATTGCTTGACCTTTTCCTCAATGATGGAGTTCTTCGCGCGCAAAGTCTCCTCGAGGGCGCCCTTCTCATTTTGCAACTCCCAAAGCTCCTTGCTCTTCTTGTCAATCTCCCCCTTTTGCCCCTCCAAGATCGTTTTGAAGGAGGCGCGCTCTTTGTCCAATTTTGCCTGGACGTTGGCAAGCTCTTTCTCCAACGACTCCTTCTGCTCCATGGCCTCTGAGTTCTCTCGGACCACCTCTTTCAAGTCTTTTATCTTGCCCAGAAGCCGTGTGATGACCTCCTCTTTCTTTAAAAGCAATCCCTTCCAATGGTGGTTCAGCTTATCCTCCAATTGGGCCATCATCTCCACGTTCTTCTCGTCCTTTGCCGCAAGCTGCCGCTGCGTTGTATCCAGCAGGGAATTGCTATATCGCGAATAGTAATTCGCTGAGGCCTGGGCTTCTTGAAGTTGACCTTCCAGTTGTGTCACTGTGGCCTGGGCTTTTTGAAGTTGACCTTCCTGTTGTTTCACTGTGGCCTGGGCTTCTTGAAGTTCCCTTTCCAGTCGTGCCATCTTGCCCTCTCGTCGTAGTTGGGCTGCATCATGGCGGTGGCCTCCACCGGATTTGCTGGACTGGCCCCACCAGTGCCAGTCCGCCCAGTTGTCATCGTTCCACGACTGGTCGTCCTGGGCAGGTTCCCAGGAGCTCATGGCGGCGGTGCAGCTGCGAAGGCTGAACCTGACTTGAGCCTCCGCCTTCCTGTCAAAGGGAAGAAAGCACTCTTTCTCTGTCACTGGCACTTCTCAGCGCGTTCAAAAACAACATCAAACCTGACTCAAAGTCTAAGTCTACTGTGTCACACATTGCTGGCACTTCTCAGCGCCATCTCAGTTCAAAAACAACATCAAAAACCAGAAAGTCTAAGTCTACTGAGGTCTGCGCCGGTCAGGGCCAAAGAGTTGGTTGATGTTGTCTTCGTGGGTGTCGCAAAAGCAGGCCTGAGTTCCAAGGCAGGATTCCATGCAACTCCAATGAAAAATGCACTGCACTCTTCCAGCGCAGAACCACAGCGCCTAACATTTTCATTCCAGGTTCCCTTATTTTCCTTCAGATAAATCCAATGCCTCCGCATTTCCAGCCAACACCCCATGGCTTCTGATGCTGAAGGCTGGCTAACTCTTTACAAATTGACCCCCATTGGGCTATCAGCAAAACCCTGCTGCTCTGGTGGCAGGAGGTGGGCGAAAGACTTTCTCACCACAGGGCTCTTCTTGGGGAGGTCGGCGTTCCCTCCCGCCTTCTCGCCCCGCGCAGGCTTCTGCTTAGGCTTGGAGGAGGAAGCTATCGCTGCCTTTTCAGGCGATCTTTTTGTTTTTTTCCCCCTTGCCTTGGGAGAAGCTAACTTCTGTGTCCCAGTTCTTGGCTGCTTCGCCTTCTCTGGTTTCTTTTTGGTTTTTCCAGCGCTGCCCATGGCTAAGCTTGCAAACCGTTCTTCGAACTGCTCCTTCATATCGTCCATCGCTTTCTGCAGCTGGTGCAAGCACTGCTCCACATCGAGAATCATGCGGAACATCTCGCGGTGGGCGGTGCTCTCAAAGTCCATCATGGCTTCAGCTAGGCTAGCAGGAGTGATACTGCAAACTGCTGCAGCGGGCAACAATTCAAAGCCACTTTCGTCAGCGGTACTCATCTATCAAACTGAAGAAGGTTTGCTTTAAATCTGACCTCCACCTTCAAATGATAGAGCCTGGCACTATAATTGACAAAACCTAAAGCTTTCCCACTTTTAACAGCGGGCTATTGAAATTTGAAAGCCAGGGCCCCAACATCCATGAGGGCTATTCTTGCAAAGATTCGCCTGAGCAAGCCACAGCGCATTAAATGTGGCTTGACCCGGCATCTTTTGCATGAGTCGTCATTTGAGACTCAGGCATTGACGCGTGGTCTTGCTAGGCAGGGCCATATGCAACGCCATGCCCCACCCAGTTTGCAGGTAGAATTTGCATTTGATGACATTTTATGACCTTTTTTTCCCTGCATTACATCTTCTTAACTTTGTTGGAGGATTTTGTAACTTGAGTCTGCTGGAGCGTTCATGTGGCTAGTTGCTTCATGGCACTCTTGCAGCGCCAACTATATTTGGTCTTAAACAGCTGTGGTCTGCAGCACATTTTTCAATGCCAACCTGGCTTGGACATTGACAAACTTGGGTTCATTGGTGTTGAAATTATCATGTGAAAAACACTGACCACTCCAATCCTTCAAAATTTTAAGCGGCGCTATCTCAGTATTCATATTATTATTATGAACTTTTTCTAATTTAAAATACAGGACAGCACTCCAATCCTTCAATCCCGCTTAACAGCTAGTAAGCAAAAGGGCAGATGCCACATGGGGGCTAATGGGGTGTAGTTTTATAAGGGAAACCACCCACATCCCCCTGGCCCAACGATTCCATTTCCCTTCTTCCAGGGGGTCGAACTGGAAACACGTGTTAAACCCCTTTTTTCCAGAGTCCAAGACATGAAGACAGAACTCCGGATGCTGCTGAAAACGAAGCCTTTCAAGCGATCATGCAGCTGAAGAATTGAGGACCAGCCCCCTTCCAACTCAGCGGGCTGATACAATCTACACCGAACCCTTAGCATTTACTTTTGCAGTCTTTGCAGCGAACACCGCAGGCCATGACCACGATTGAGTTCTGTGAGAAGCCACTTGGAGCGCACTGACACTGCCAAGCAGTGTGGTGGAGTGCTTGTGGTACTTTGGGACATTGCCATGATAGATCTGTTCCCCCCTCCAAGGGTCCTTGAGCGATGTTTGTTTGGCACCTGACTATTGTCATCCCTCCCATTTGCCTCTTCTCCAGGAAGAAACGCAACAAATACGCAGTGAAAGAATTGGCTTGTCGAGTTGGTTCAATGATTCCTTTGAGAGAAAGCATTGCCAAGGCCCAAATCCCGGCACTTTCTGGTAGTTCCTGACTTCGTGTCCTTGTAAGAACTCCACTCCCACTCTTTTACCTGTTTGTCCAGTGGTGGGAGCCTTTCGTGAGCCAAGAATGGAGAAAGTGGCAACCTTTGTCTCATGAGCAATACATGGGCATTTGTTCCTCAAGGAGCTCATCATCCGAATACTCCTCGGATGCACCATGAATAGCAGCCATGCTCAATTCACAGTCAATGTTGGCAGCTTTTACCCTCTACCTGCATGCAAGACTATGCCACATCTACTCAACATGTGCGTCTTTCTCATGACAAAACGTCTTCCAACCAGTTTCACTCGCCTTGAGGTCACATAGCAAAGGCAGCTTCAACGCCTCCGCCTACGATCGCGGTTTCGTTCGGGC